CCCTAAGCTCTTAAAAGCGTTAATAAATAATTCCAGATTTACAAATGTGTAGACCACAATTATTTTTTGGTTGTTGAACCTCTACAACATTTGTTGGTCTTAATAGCTAGATATAAATAACTGCTAGTGCTACAATTTATCATCTAAAGAAGAAGCAGTATAAATATCGTGAAAATATCTCCACTCTTAACATGATAGGAATGAGTCTTGACAGAGGGAGGATTTTACTTGTAAATTGACATTTTGCTTTTCAGCAAACTACTAAATCTTTATATAAATCTTTATATACTATATCTTTATGCTGCTTTTCATAAACTTAACTGTCTGTATTTTCCTGAGTCCAGCTAAGGTATAAGAATATGAATATAACAACATGAAATTCCATACCATCATTAAGAGACGGATAGCCTTCTCAATCAAGATCACAAAAAGGAGTGTAGAAAATGCATGCTGACAGGAGGAATAATGCAGCTTCTGTATCATACTGTTTGTCATGACAAAGACATAAATTAAATTGTTGTTAATGAACTAGAATATGCTGTGAGAATGCCAAATGCTGAAGGGAGGGACCAGAAGAAGCCAAAGAAAAGCTGAAAAAGACATACAATGGAAAAATCTGAAGGAGCTGAAATTTCAAGGAGTTTAAAATCACCAGAAGATGGAGCCAGAGTATTGCAATGAAAAGCTGAAAAACCAGCAGCAAAAGAGAACACTGAAATATGGCAAAAAGGCAATGGAAAGTAAAAGAACAACGGCTATTGGATGATTTAAAAATAAACTTAAAAGTGGAAGAAGAATGGTAAAAGGATCAGAAGAAGAAAAAATGAGTAAAAGGCCATGAAATTATCTATAAGGTACTGGCTCTCTGCGAGTGCAGATGTGTTTCTCTCTGCTCCCTCCCCTGTCCTTTTTTGCCTGCTTGCTGTCTTTGTCCTGTCATATCTCAGAGCCTCTTTCTGCATTTTCACCTCCTAAACACTAACATCAACCATGGATTTCGTCGGCTGGTCTCTCAACGCAATTGACAGCATCTTTACTACCCAAAGACACGCTGCAGCGGCTGCAACTTGTCCAGCCGGGATTCACCCTGCGGGTTACACAATGGATGCCTGGAAGAGTTGGAGGTTTTTATGCCTTCTCAGTTCTGTCTGTGAAGGACGTTGAGGAGGATACCTATTTTGAGTAATGATAACCGGGTTCCTGCTGATTGTAGTTGGTCGATACCTAGGTTTTCGAGAAATTCGGAGGATGATGGCAACTGGTGGCGGGCTGCCGATCGAGACGGTTTTCCGATCCATCAACACTCTGACTCAAACTCTGCGTGAGTTGATTCGCAAACACGATGCTCTGGTAAGAAAACTGGAGGCTCAATGGAGCAGTCAGGAGGCTCATAGGAGCAAAAAGGGGACGATGCCTGACAGCATGAAGGTGATGGATAACACCCTGGAGAAGTTGGTGGTCCGGATGGATGGAAACTAACACAATTCGGCTCAATTGGAGTTGCCATTGAGAGACCAGGAGTTAAGACAGACAAAACACCCTCTGTCTGGAACAAATCTAGCTCTCTTATCTTAATCTGGCCTCCCGAGAGCTGCCTTGCAGCTGCTACTCTGCAACTTTGCCCTGGATGAAACTGCAGATGGACGCTTTGGCCCCCCTCCATCCCCTCCCTCTGCCAAGCAAGAGTTTGGGCATCACAAGGACAAATTCCATCTAGCCTGTGGATTGTGGACCTCCAGCTTGCACACACACAAGTACTTAATGCATTCGTTGGGGCCACTGCCTCACTGTTACCTTTCCCCTTCCTTCAAACCCCCCATCCCTCTCTCCATATTTGTCCTTGATGTTGTGTTTTGACTGTAAGTTTGCTTAAGTGTACTGAGGTGTTTTTTTATTTTTAAAACACTGTTATGTCCCCTGTAGGGGCATGGCACTGGGCTTTTTTTCCCCTCTCTTCCCACAACCACTTTCCTGATTTATCTTTGTTCTGAAGGAAAACGGTGCGCCCTTGATTGGCTGCCGACGGTATTCCTGTACTGGTGTGTCTATTTGTTTTGTTTGTATGATCTTGGTACGGGCTATACAGGAAGTTATTTCCTTCTTGTGAGATCAATCAATTCAATAAATCAATCAAAAGATTCGAATTGGTAAATTTCTATATGCTGGCTGAAGGACACACAGAGCACAGCAGTCATTAGTCGTCATGATGACAGCCAGCTGGATCCACTCAGATACACAAACAGCTGAAGTAGTTAGGGCTGAAGTGGGTCAAAGTTGGGTAAAAGCCCTTGAAATTATCAAAAAGGTACAGAAAGATTTTAATGGGATTTGAACCGGAAATTTCTAAATCTGCAGTCAAACGCTCTACCACTGAGCTATACCCCTTTCAATTAGTCTGAATAGGAATACATTAGAAAATGTTTAAAGGGATGACATTTAAAGGATATTAAAAGAATAATAACAGTGGGAAGTAAACGAACAATGGCTGAAGGATGCTTTAAAGATAAAATGAAGAATGGACTTTCTGCTCCTCGTCTGCGGTGTAACTTCTGCTTTCTGCACCCATCAAGTCTAGCATTCCCCGAGTCCAGCACACTACAGTGTTTTAAAGACATTCAGTTTTTTAGTAGACAATAAAGATACATTTATATTGTTTATATTTTGATAGTTTTTCATCTGCCTATATTTTTTTAATGATTTTCTTTCATTCTGCAGGTCAAATTCCTTCTAAGTGTAGAACAACTGTATCTGATTCTATTTATCTGACTGCTATTTGACAAGCAGTCTTCTTGAGCATAGCGATTTAACATTTGCCTGAGCAATAGTACTACTACTTGAATCAAAATAAAAAGATTGTTGCGATTACAAACAGATTTAAATGTTTAAATGTGAAAAATATGTAACATCTTAATACAGGATAATTAACATGATGCAACATACTTAGCAAAACATCTGACCATGCTGTAAAATGCATCAATACACAGAGAATAAATCACCATAGTAAATTGGTCGGTTAAGTTTGAGCTGCTTTCATGAAACCGACTTGAGGATAAGTTCAGTCAGCATAATCAACATTTCCTAGTTTTGTGCTATACCACTCTGAGGGGAGAGTGGTCTTGCAGTCTGCAGGACTGTTTTGAATGCAATGAGTGGAGATGTTCAGAGAGGCTGCAACCAACAAGCAATACAATGAGGAAAGAAGAGTATGCTGCCTGTGTGACTGATTACATCCAGAGGTGTATGGAGGAGGTCAAAACCTCAATGTAAATAATCACTTAAGCCTTGGATGACTAAAGAGGTGCGTGTGAGACTAAAGGAACGCAATGCTGCTTTCAAATCTGGTGATGCATTGGCGTTGAGATCAGAGGGTCAATCTGAACCGTGCCATCAGGCCAGAAAAGCGTGTCCACAGTTTCAAGATCCAAGGCTTCTTTCAGGGCCGAGCAACACCAGACAACTGCGGCAGGGCATCCAGAGCATTATACACTACAGCAGGGGTCACCAACCTTTTTGAAACGGAGAGCTACTTCATGGGTACTGAGTCACACGAAGGGCTACCAGTTTGATACACTCTTCTGAAATAATATATTTGCTCAATATGCTTTTAGCTATACTTTATTAATAATCATTAATGATGCTCATCTGTGACAACAGTGACAACAAAATGGGAAACATATCAATATCCACCACTTTATCTCTATTTATCTCAGCAACTGTTAAATTGTCAGATGATCACTTGTACATCACTACATTTACATAGGAGTTTTCATTTTCACTCATTTTCACTAGCCACTGACAAAACCTTTTAACAAATCATGAACTATGTTGCACCATGTTTCAAAAAGTAATCAATTATCTAATGTTAAAGAAAAATCAACTCACATATTAAAAAGAAATCTGAAATCTCATGACTAAATCTTTAACAGATTGGCATTGCATGCATGTTCACCAGTGCATTGTAATCTGCTGTGTAACTTGACATTGCAACGGTGAGTGCATATTTCAGATGTGCTTTTTCTGCCCGTAGTGGGTAGTTAGCATGCTAGCTTTTGTGGCACGAAGTTAAGTGTTTCTCCACATTGTGCCGCTTTGCCGTCGCCACAGTTGCCCCGCAAATCAGACACACGTAGGCTTCTTTTACAGTCGTAAAAAATAACTCCTCCTCCCATTCGTTGTGAAAGTCATGTTTTCTTTCGTTTTTCTCCCATGTTTTTGGGGTAAGAAACTACACCCATCTCCGCTGCGCCCGCTATCTTACTCTCCACTGACACTGGTTTTGTTTTGTCACGTGCACAATCCTGACCTTTGAACTAGAGAAAACTTAAACTTAATATATAATGAACATATTTTTAAGATATTGTCATTTTAAATCAAATCTATATGAATGCGAGTGATATTAAAAAGAATAGCAACGGAACAAAATTAAATTTTAGACGCAGCTCACAATTGAGTTGTGCTATTTTTAGAACAGGCCTGCGGGCGACTCCTGTGGTCCGTGCGGGCGACCTGGTGCCCGCGGGCACTGTGTTGGTGACCCCTGCACTACAGAGTCCTGCCCACACCGTGCCAGGACAGCAACTGAAGTTCAAAACAACAATTCTGTGAGTAAGCCCTCACAGAGGAAACAAAATCCAAGTGTTGAGTCACATTTTCAGGGCTTGAAATGTTTGCCTCTGATGCACCCTGATATACCTGTTTCCTTCTGTGTATAAAACAGCTCTGACTGTTTCATAAACAACAAATCTATTTACATCAGTGAATTTACGGTCACAGGCTTGCTGGTAGACAAAAATTATTGAAATAACCTGTTAGTGGTTTCCATGTTGTATCTTATTTATATCATTATCTTTAGCTTCCTCTAAGTTTTATGTCACTTTGAATAGAGTGTGTATTCAATGTCATAATTTATCAGAAGTAATTCTGAAATGTTTTTTATTTTCCACACAACTCATTTGTCTTTAAAAGAATGTTGTGGTATGTTTACAACACAATGAAGTTTAAGTTACCAAAATTTATTTAGAACAGAATGCAATAAAGGCATTGTTTTTGCCATGCATGCTCCATTTAATCAGGAAATAGATATATTTACAACCTATAATCAAAATACCCATTGTGGCAAGAACCCATTGTAAGCATGTACAAACAACAAAAACTTGACACACCCTCCACAGTCTATAAACACACTGCTCTATAATAAATATTCTGAATCCAACTTCATGAAAAGACACTTTTCAGTCTGTTTAGTTGAAATGCAAATCTGAATCTTATATGATTGTTTTAAACAGATTTCTTTAAATAGCACCGTGGGACTTAATTACCCTGTAGTTTAGCAGATCTTTGTGGATAATGTTTATTATTTTTGTCCACAGAACAGAGAACCAACTATCAGAACAATTGACAAAGGAAAAGAAAGCATGCACACGAGTTACAGATTATTTCTTGGGTTAATTTATCATCCAGTGACTTCAGTGACAGCATTACAAATTGGTAGTTGAAGTACAGCATGTCTACAATATCATGTTGAGACTGAGAAAAGGCACATCAATAAAGCTTGTAAACATAAATTCAGCACATAATGATGCACCTTCTTTTATATTAAACAGAAAAACATAAACAGAAGAGTACCAGTCATAATTTTGAATATATGTATGCATTTATAGGCAAAACCCTATATGAAGAGAATGTGCTTCAAAACAAATGATTTTTCCCTATTTCAGATTTAACCAGCTGTCATTAGAACTAATAAGATCTAGTTCTTGTAAAAGATTAAAAAAGTGCCAATACTTTTTTGAAAATGATTATCTATTCTTTTACACTTAGGCATCTCCCCTTGTTTCTGTAATGGGAGCTGGTGTTGGAATCTCTTCTGTAAAACATAGAGAGGTACATGATGATGTGTGATCCTCAGGCACAGTCGTGTTCACTGTTGTCTTGATAACCGTCATTGTTGGTTCCTCAGTGTTTGCTGTGTCTGGCTCAGGGACAAAGGTACTCCCATCTCCTGAGGTAAAGATTGCCATAGCTGTTGTGGTCATGACCAGTGGGGGCAACTCAGTTGTAATAATGGCTTCCTCAGAGGACTCCTCAGAAGATAGACTTTCTGAGGATTCATCAGAGTCCTCAGACATGTTGAGAGAAAATAACTTGTTAATGCCACAAAGCAATCCATGTGTCTGGTCCTTGTCAGCAATGTCGGCATCATGATACTGGCGAATCTGTGGAAGGAAACAGATATTGGCACTCTGTTTCTGTGTGTTATTACTAATGTCAGGAAACCCCTCAATACAGCCAAACCTAATGTTCCATTCTACTTTTCTACTTTTCCTGATGCGAACCCTTGCTCATAATGAATGTCACAATGTCTGCTGTTGGAAAACTGAAAAAACCCAAATCTGTAACTGAATTTTTAGTCATAGTTGTTAGGTCTGACCATCATTAAAAAAATATTTAATAAATAAAACCCACTTAAGTTATTTTGACAACATTTTTGTAAATCTCGGTTATGTGGGAGGTAGGCTACATTCAACATTTTTTTAATGTTATTATTAGTATTAGTGGTATTGTTATTATTATTATTATTATTATTATTATTATTATTATTATTATTATTATTATTCATTTGATTAATTCAAATTACTTTTTTATTCCGTAGTGAGACTCACATGTCTTACACTTACTGTCTTTTTTGCTTAATTCGTAAGAGTCTGTTAACTGTTGCACCTTTCACAAATATTTTTGTCTCTTTTTCGTGACATTGTCAAAAAGGTAGTAATCCTATATTTTGCATTTATCATTTATCTCTATTTTTTTCCACCACTAAAAAACACTGCAGAAATGTGACATTGGAGCAGAGTGAGAAAAACTTCAGAGATTTTAGATCTAAAAGGAGCATGATGAAAGCTTGTAGTTGTTGTGGTCAACTTACTGGCTTTGCAGATGTTGCTGTAAAAAGGATGATGATGAGGGCAGTTTTCAGCAGCTCCATCTATGATTGTTTACTGTCTCTAAAGAAGGGAAACCACAAACATATGCCACATAATCAACATCAAGAGAAGAGATATTAGTGAGTGGGTACAGTGGTGTTTACAATTAATCGTTCATATAACTTTGATTTAGAAACATGTTATGTAACTAAAGGGACATGCATGTAATATTTAACATGTTATGACACTGCATAGATATAAAGAATCCTATGATGTGTGTTAATGAAACAAAAAAAGTCTATACTTACCACTGTTTGGCCACAATTAGATCTGTTCACTTGTAGTCTACAATTGTCTAAAATACTCTGTAAAGTCACTGAGATTTTAGATAGTGCAAGTCACTGTGCTTCAATGCAGAAATAAGTCTGAGTTTCATGCAAGCTGCTGTTTATATATATATGGTGTTTGGGCATGGAGGCTGGCCTGGGCAGGGTTGTGATAGACAAGACCTAAGGCAATGATTGCAAAAGACTGGTTTTCCTCAGGCAGAAAGTGGAGGGGAGGAACAAAACCCGAGGTTTACCACACAATCTGGAACAAGTGGCAAACTTATTTAGACTTGTTTATAATATTTTATTATGAAATGTGTTGTGTAGATATTTTGTTGATCAGAAACACACTGTTCTTCATTTTACAGTCATACTAAAGTGCAAGCTCTGGAATAGCCAACAATGTTTACTGTTTTGAAAGTAAGCTAACAGATCATTTCAGCCAAAACCTTAAAAACTGCTTTGATTGCTATAACTGTGCATGTGAAACCGACTTTGCTCAAACAGGACATTCGTGCAACAATGGCTGAGAAATGGCATCTCGTGATGAAAGTCTGAATTACACAATAGAAAAATGAGACTACCCGGAGAAAGGCTGGCAGTGGAATGTTGCAGTAGAGACAAACCACTCTTATCCCCCCCGCCCCCAACCCCCCATCCCCCGCCCAGGCTCTTCTCTGCAAAATTAGAAATTACCACAGACCTCATGGACAATAAATCATAATGCTGATTCCCTTCCAACATTTAGGGATACAAGACAACAAACAATAAAAAAATAAGAGACCTCATGCAGAGACATTACTTTAAACATAAAACATAGTGTTCAAATATGATTTTTTAAATTTTGTTTTTAAACCCCTTTTAAACCTGCAATTGCATTCATAGTAAGAATGATAAAACAATTGATTTAATGATGAATATTTTTTAAGTCAGAATTAACTTATTACACCAAACACAGGCTGGGTTTTAATGGGGCATCTTTATGTAACCAGTTGAACTGGTGCTACAGTGCTCTCTGGGCAGTGGTTCAGGGATAAGGGACTACCATCGCATACTTAAGACCTGCAACTGCAAATCTCGCAAGATCTCAGAAGGCCCATGATATCTGACAGACCTGCCAAATATTGCAGACTGTGAAGATAACGGCAGCTGATGACTGTAATTGTCAACTGGATGATTCATAACGGCAGTGGCGGCTGGTGAAAAAAAATCTTGGTGGGGCTGGTGTGCCAATAGATTTCCCTGCCTAACCCATTACATGAATTCAAGTTAAAAGTCGGAAAATTACTACAATTCCACAATAAGCATTTAATTCCCTTCTCAGAATCAGCAGTTTACATATACAGTTAACCATTTAAAGCTATATTAGTCATTATTTTGGAAAGGAACAGTATGAAATACAACACTCAATTTCAGTATTTGTCACCAAACACTCAAAGTAAGCACACAGGTGGTTAGCTTAACACGGTTAGCTTAACACAGTTTTCCATATGAACTCGTGATATTTCATGTTTCTTAATGGTTCAGAGAGGTGTTCTAAGTCTGTCTGTCCAGACTGTGTTCACGTCAAATCACTCCGGTCACTTTTAAAAAGGATGCAGGGAAAAAGTGCATGGCCGTCCCACAGGCTGTCAGCCAGGACTTACGCTGGAACCAGCTCCTGCTAAAAGGCCGGCTGTAGGCTTTTTCATTGGTTCGCTGCGTTAAATTTATTTCGGGCTTGTCAGTTCCCAGTTCCTTTACATGGATTTTTTCCACCATCGTCCTTCTCACGAAAGGGGAACTCAGTAAAGATCTCACTGAATTGTGTGAAAGCTGCTCTTCAACTGTCGTCATCGCCGTCATCTCTACGTCACTGCCTGACTGACCACTAGCTCTATGTCTATGGTAGCAGGGTCGCCAGTTCCAGGCGCCCCAGAGCCATTAATTTCGGCGATGCTGATTGGCCAAATATTTATTAATCTTCCCTAGCAACATTATTCAATTGGTTATTTCACTGCACTTCTGGGGCGCTTGGGGTTAGCGCCCCAGAAGAGAAACGATACGTTCTGTGGGTGGACATGCACTGTTGAATGAGAGTCAATTGGTGGAAGTGTTGTTTTAATAATTCATACTACATGTAGCCACATACTATTAAGTAAAACTGACATTGATAATACTTTTAATATATATATATATACAGGGGTTGGACAATAAAACTGAAACACCTCTCATTTTAGTGTGGGAGGTTTCATGGCTAAATTGGACCAGCCTGGTGGCCAATCTTCATTAATTGCACATTGAACCAATAAGAGCAGACTGTGAAGGTCCAATTAGCAGGGTAAGAGCACAGTTTTGCTCAAAATATTGCAACGCACACAGCATTATGGGTGACATACCAGAGTTCAAAAGAGGACCAATTGTTGGTGCACGTCTTGCTGGTGCATCTGTGACCAAGACAGCAAGTCTTTGTGATGTATCAAGAGCCACTGTATCCAGGGTAATGTCAGCATACCACCAAGAAGGACGAACCACATCCAACAGGATTAACGGTGGACGCAAGAGAAAGCTGTCTGAAAGGGATGTTCAGGTGCTAACCCGGATTCTATCCAAAAAATATAAAACCACGGCTGCCCAAATCACAGCAGAATTAAATGTGCACCTCAACTCTCCTGTTTCCACCAAAACTGTCCGTCGGGAGCTCCACAGGGTCAATATACACGGCCGAGCTGCTATAGCCAAACCTTTGGTCGCTCGTGCCAATGCCAAACGTCGGTTTCAATGGTGCTAGGAGCGCAAATCTTGGGATGTGGACAATGTGAAACATGTATTGTTCTCTGATGAGTCCACCTTTACTGTTTTCCCCAAATCCGGGAGAGTTACGGTGTGGAGAAGCCCCAAAGAAGCGGACCACCCAGACTGTTGCATGCCCAGAGTGAAGCATGGGGGTGGATCAGGGATGGTTTGGGCTGCCATATCATGGCATTCCCTTGGCCCCATACTTGTGCTAGATGGGCGCGTCACTGACCTGGAATACCGAACTATTCTGGAGGACCATGTGCATCCAATGGTTCAAACATTGTATCCTGAAGGAGGTGCCGTGTATCAGGATGACAATGCACCAATACACACAGCAAGACTGGTGAAAGATTGGTTTGATGAACATGAAAGTGAAGTTGAACATCTCCCATGGCCTGCACATTCACCAGATCTCAATATTATTGAGCCACTTTGGGGTGTTTTGGAGGAGCGAGTCAGGAAACATTTTCCTCCACCAGCATCACGTCGTGACCTGGCCACTATCCTGCAAGAAGAATGGCTTAGAATCCCTCTGACCACTGTGCAGGACTTACATATGTCATCCTCAAGATGAATTAATGCTGTATTGGCTGCAAAAAGGAGGCCCTACACCATACTAATAAATTATTGTGGTCCAAAACCAGGTGTTTCAGTTTCATTGTCCAATCCCTGTATATCATGACTTCCCCCTCCACATCTAGGGGGGGCAGCGCCCGAGCGCCCCCTATGGGCTGGCCGCCACTGCTTAACGGACTGAAAATGAGAAATGACAAAGTTAACTATTAGAAAAGTACATGGATGAGTGAGACAATACCAATGTTAGTGTGTGACGAGTAAATGCACTTTGTTAGTGAGAGGACATCATCAGGTGTGTGCCTGCGCATCCATTCTGTTGAGTTCCAATTCAAGTGGCTGAACGGCACAAGTGACAAATCTAATGCTAAAAATCCTTGTTTGGCGTCATAAATTGTTTATTTTACTAAAAGTATACTTTGTATATTGATGTCCGTCACAGAGGGGAGAAAGATAAACGTTTGTATGCTTTGTCTTGATAGAAATCGAAGCTGTAGGCTATCCACTGGACATGAGTGAGTTTCTCATTTATATATTGAAAATAAGTCATTTAAGTTCATGCAGGATCGGTTGTAATAACATTTTGGAGTGATGAAACTGTGTCGAATTGTTTATGAAATTTCACTGTAAGATGTTCTAGAGATGTGGCTGAGTGTCCACGCAAAGCAGCTGGACCCGACTCCATCTCTCCTAGCATCCTTAAGCACTGCGCAGACCAGCTGTCTCCTGTGTTCACTGACATCTTCAACACCTCGCTGGAGACATGCCATGTGCCTGCCTGCTTCAAAACCTCCACCATCATCCCATCCATCCATCCATCCATCCATTGTCCTCCGCTTATCCGGGGTCAGGTCGCGGGGGCAGCAGCCGGAGCAGGGAAACCCAGACTTCCCTCTCCCCGGCCACTTCAGCCAGCTCCTCCGGGGGGATCCCGAGGCGTTCCCAGGCCAGCCGGGACACGGTCCCTCCAGCGGGTCCTGGGTCTTCCTCTGGGCCTTTTCCCGGTGGGACGAGCCCGGAACACCTCCCCAGGGAGGCGACTAGGAGGCATCCTGAACAGATGCCCGAGCCGCCTCAACTGGCTCCTCTCCACGTGGAGGAGCAGCGGCTTTGCTCCGAGCCCCTCCCGGATGGCCGAGCTTCTCACCCTATCTCTAAGGGAGAGCCCAGCCACCCTACGGAGGAAACTCATTTCGGCCGCTTGTATCCGCGATCTCGTTCTTTCGGTCACTACCCAAAGTTCGTGGCCATAGACGAGGGTGGGAACGTAAATCGACCGATAAATTGAGAGCTTCGCCTTTAGGCTCAGCTCTCTTCATCACGACAGACGGGTACAGCGCCCGCATTACTGCAGACGCCGCACCGATCCGCCATCGACCGCTGGAACTTTTTATTACATCCGCTATAAGACAGAACAGCAGTCGCTAAAGATGGAAAGAACTATTGGTGCTTAGGCAAACTTACTGAAATCTAATAATGTTATCTGGTAGTTAGCGAGAGCAGAGAAAACACGCTACCACCACACAAACACCGGAAACGGAAATGAGTCAGGTCGCTTACCGCAGTATGTCTCCAATCACCTGGCACCTGGCACCTACCCACCTTTGTTAGGGGAACGTTACCACTTTTGTTAAAAACAACATCATAGTCTGGCATAAAGTGCAATCAAATATGCACACTGACCCAGATCTGTGAGGGTTCACCCCAATATGGGGAATCCACCGATTCCCAGCAGGAAAAAACGACTCAGGGTTCAAATCATGGGCAATTAAAGGCATTAGTAAAATTATGGACATATACAATGCAGATTGGGTATTGTATAGCTTTGATGAATTACATGGTGCATACAATATACACAGGAACCACGTCTTCAAATATTTGCATATTAAGAGTTATATTCTGAAAAAATACAAACAGATAAACAAACTACCACTGTCTTGAAGATGCGGTACTAAATCATATGCACAGACGTTGTCAGGTTTCTGTTACTTAATGTAATGATCGTTCTTTGGACCCAAAAACACCCTGAGGCAACGGTCA